TTCATCATATATTGGAATCCCCTTTCATTCTGCTCCCTGCCAAGCATTTCTTAAATCTTTAATTTGACTGAAAATTTGAACAACCTGATGCTAGTTGACCTATTTAGTTCCACTTTGAATTTTCATCTTACTTTATTAACAGCAGAGATAATAAATGCAGCAAAACTTGAGCCTCTACACTAATTATAAAACATCTTATGTTTGGAATGTTAAAAAGTAAAGCAAACAAATAAATTAAATCTTTTATTACAAGTAATCATTAGTTATGTTGCCAGTTGATATTTCTGGAGTTGATTTTTGATGTAGCCAAACTAAAACACCAAAATTGTTCTTACTAGTGAGAAGGTAATCATTAATGGAATATGGCTTTAGTAGTTACTTTATAGTAGGTACTTTAAGAAATCATATTTTTAAATGTTTTAAGAAGTCTCTGTGTGAATGGTGTGTGTGTGTGTGTGTGTGTGTGTGTGTGTATTTCATAGAAGCTGTATAAAGTATTGGGAAATGATAAGCTTGTTTGTTTCCTTTCCACAGGTTGGTGTTAGCATCAAAATGAGTAGTTTTAATCTTACACGAATAGTTACTCTGACTCCCTTTTGTACCATTGCAAATAAGTCCTCATTAGAACTAGAAGTTGGTGAAATTGCACCTGATGGCTCCATGCCGACTAATAAGTGGAACTATATTGCTTCTTCAGAGGTAAAATTTTCCTTTAATATAACTGGCTCCTAAAATGTACAAATAAATATAGACATATAAATAAGAGTTGTGTCTACCTCTTTGTCATACTCACTTTGCTATAATATTTGTGTGTTAAAATATGACAGCCAACTTTGAAAGACTTTTCTTATGCAATGTAAGCATAGGTTAAAAAAAGAAACTTGTTGATGATATTTTCCACTAGCCCAGTCTATGTGGTTAACACTAATTCTCTAGTTCTTCCTATATGTATAGAATGCGATATAAAGATAATGTAAATAAGTTTTATCTCAGTAGTTAAGATAATGTATTCTGTATTTAAGTAGCTTATAATCTTGTTGGAGAGGTTAAGACTCATAAATTAACACATGGGGGAAAAAAAGATAGTATATACCAAGTTATAGGTGGTTATAAATTTCTGAGTAGGTGAGCTGGAAGACTCCTTGAAAATTTCCTATAATTAAAACCCTGTATGTTACAGAGAAAGACATTTAATCTCATACTTATCTAAGGTTAATAAGGTTATTGGAAGTTGAGGTCATTGTGGTATACATCAAAAAAGAAAGTTTCATAGAAGAGGTGACATTTGAACTAAACTTAGTAGGCTGGGAGTAAGATTTGAGGAAGTGAAGAGAATAAGGGTATGAGTAGGCGAGGGACAGGTGCAAAGACAAGAATTTGAATTTACCTGAGTTTTCAACCAAACCAGCTGACCTTAAAGATAGAGCCATTCTTCTATATATCTCAAAAAAATTCTAAAATTATTTTAAAAATACTTAGCAAAGGTTTAAGAAGAAGGATTCTAAATATAATACCAACAGATTGAGAATGCTATGAGGCATGCACTCTCCAAAGCACTTAAAATGATCTCCGCAGACTTGGCAACACATGCTCATTATCTTTTTATCTTTGATGTGGGTTTGGTGACAGTAGTATTTTTTTTAATATATTTTATTGATTTTTTACAGAGAGGAAGGGAGAGAGATAGAGAGTTAGAAACATCGATGAGCGAGAAACATCGATCAGCTGCCTCCTGCACATCTCCCACTGGGGATGTGCCCGCAACCCAGGTACATGCCCTTGACCAGAATCGAACCTGGGACCTTTCAGTCCGCAGGCCGACGCTCTATCCACTGAGCCAAACCGGTTTTGGCGACAGTAGTATTTTTATTCAGACATAGAATTCACTCAATATTCTCTAACAGAGGGACATTTTGTATTAGGAGCTAAAATCTCAGTTTTATAGATAAGAAAACAGGCTCAAAAGGTATATGATTTGATTCAGATCAAACAGCTGGGAAGATAATGTTAGTAGTACTCCCAGCAAGATCTATAGACTCTGCTCTGCCTTTAGAGATCTTTCTGGTTTATTCTGGATAAGATAATCTGAGATAATTCATAGTGCGTTAAGGAATTAAAGTAAGATATGCACAAAAAGTGTTAAGATTATAGTTTTAAATATTTGAGATATTTGGGGCATTCTTAATCAGTAAGCTCTTCAGTTTCTCATATTGTAATCTATACTAATAAAAGCATAATATGCTAATTAGATCAGACAGCCAAACGACCTCCAGATGTCATTCCAGACATCCTGGACAAAGCCTTGGTGTCGGGGGTGAGACAGAGACGGTTAGGGGCAATCAGGCTGGCAGGGGAGCAGTTAAAGGTGATCAGGTCGGCAGGGGAGCAGTTAGGGGGTGATCAGGCAGTCAGGCAGAGGGGTAGGGGCAATCAGGCAGGCAGGTGAGTGGTTAGGAGCCAGCGGTCCTGGATTGCGAGAGGGATGTCTGACTCCCTGCAGGATCGGGCCTAAACTGGCAGTTGGACATCCCCTGAAGAGTCCCGGATTGGAGAGGATGCAGGCCAGGCTGAGGGACCCCCTGTTTCCTCCCCCACACCCCACACAGATTTTGTGCACCGGACCTCTAGTCATTTCATAAAGATGTATAAACTAATATATCTATAGTCTTCTGATGGAGTTTCTTTGATTTCATAAATAGTTGTATTATCAATCATTTTAATATGAGATATAGAGGGAATATTTTAAGGAACTTAGTAATAATTGAAACAGGATCCTATTTAGAAGTGAAAACTTAATTAACCAATGTCATATTTACACCATGGAATTGTTTTAAGACTGATATTAACTTTTCTATTTTTAGTGTCTTCCATTTTGGCCTGAAAATTTGTCAGGCAAACTTTGTGTGAGAGTAGTAGGCTGTGAAGGATCCTCCAAACCATTCTTTTATAACCGACAGGATAATGGCACTCTATTGAGCTTAGAAGATCTGGTAGGTTTTCTTGTTTTAAAGTAAAATATCTCTGATTTATAAAATTTGCTGTAAAATATTTGATTAAAACATGTTTTAAAATCTGCTTGTAATTATATGAAGGTACTACTGTATCAATATGTCATGCCATACATATATTTGTAAGAGATCAGAGCCAGTGTGCTTTTCATAAGAATTTAAGAAAAACTTTTTGTGTCTACATAGCTGATTGAAATTCTAAATGTAAGTGCATATTAAAGCATTACCTCAAACATACTTTTTCTCCCCTATAATAGAATGGAGGTATCTTGGTGGATGTAAACACTGCTGAACATTCAACGGTCATAACCTTCTCTGATTACCATGAAGGATCTGCACCTGCTCTGATAATAAACCATACACCCTGGGACATCCTCACATATAAACAGAGGTATGAACTAAAAGAGTTCATGGAAAATCGTATTTTCTTCTGGCCCAAAATTCCTCTAAGAAACACTTTGAGACTAAATATGTTCCACGTTCCGAATGTGTTCAGTTTAGAAAGGTAATATGGAACACATGCTGTTTAATACTAATACCATCAGTAGGTTTTGAGATAGTATTCTATAATCAAACACAATATTTCTGCAGCAAAATTTATGAATGTTTATACCAATTGGGATAAATAAAACTATTAATAGTCTCACATCATTTTTTTCAGATCAGGTTTTGCTGCCAAATGACTGTCAATATCAAACTTATAGAAAAATCTGTGAACTCTCAGAGTTTTCTAAATTTCAGAAAAGGAATTGTGAATCTGTTCAAACATTATTCTTCTTTTGTAATCTGATGATGCTTAGTGAACCTCTCCCTATAAATTTATATCCAGTTTTTTATTGATAGGGGTAGTAAAAGATTAAATGGGAGGACATTGAGTAGATAGTCTTGTTGACTATATAGTACACACTGATGATACCATCTACACTAATAAAGAGAAACATGCAAATTGACCATCACTCCATCACTCTGCTGCACCCACCAGGAATCAGGAGCAAGTATGCAAATTAACACAAATAAGATGGCCGTGGCCACGGAGCTGGAGCAAACAGGAGGCTTGGGTTACCCGCGGCGATGGAGGAAGCCAAGCTTCCCACCTGCCCTGGCTGGCCCTGGGCTCCGCTCAAGGCTACAAAATTTCAATTATAGAAGATAAATAAAGCCCAGATACCTGCTTCCAGCCCGCCCTGGCCTCTGCTCAAGGAGGCACTGAAGGAAAAAAAAGAAAAGAAAAAAAAGAGAGGCTGGGAGCTTGAGTCACAGGGGGGCGTGGCCAGCCTGAAAACGGCCATCAGACCCTCACCCAGGCTGGCCAGGCACCCCTTCAGGACGCCACAATCCTGAAGGGGCTGTGGGCAGCCTGAAAATGGTC